GGATCTGGCTCTATTGCCATATTTTCCAGAAGTGGGGAGTTCTGGGTGTCAGACTGGGGCCCTACGATATGTGGTTTTCCTCAAGGTTTTGATTCAAGGTCTCCTGACTGACTCTGGGAGGTTGTACATTTCTGTCTGTGCTGATCTATCTGGATAACACCCTCTCTTCTCTAGAATTTTTGCAGAGAAATCTAGGGGCATTTCTGCTTGATGTCTATGGCCATAGCCTCCCAGGCCTGTCCTCCATAGTCAATCATTAGGTAGCCCACTAAAGATATTAGACAGTTCTCTGAAGAACTTAGGGCACTGTCTATCACTTCTGCTCAGAAGGGAGCTTCCCTCTGATGACCTGAGGCCTTTTAGCTCACATTAAGATTGCTACTTTCTGCAGAGCCCAGAGATCAAAGAAAACCTGAGGCACATCCAGTCCCTCCTGTGATCTGTGGGACGCCCCTCTCCTGGGCTTGTTGTTCTCTTTAGTAGGAATTCATGCATGGACTGTGCTCCACCTTCCACCAATCTGAAGCTTCCACGTACGCTAAGCCCTTCAGCTACCTGAGGTGCAGGAATGGATGTGAAGGTGTAACACGTCTGGCTCTCTCTGCCTGTGGTCTCCTAAGGCTGAGAGGAGGTGAGACTTTATGGAGGCCCGTGGTTTGATTAGCTGCTCTCCTAAGTCCTCCCTCATTAACCCAGCATCATCACATAGTCCATATCCAATCATATTAATGATCTCAACTCCCTGAGAGTTTTGCTGATCACATGGAAATTTTCCCTTCTATCCACACCACACCTGGCTATAGACTCCCAAGGCTGACAGTGGAGAAGGCGTTCTGTTTTGCCCTGTGTGCCTCCCGCTGTTCTCAGGGTTTCCTTCCTCACACGAGGCACCTACCGCAACCCTGCACCAGCTAATCTGAGACTGTCCACAATGACCGTGTTTCTCAGCTCCTTTAGATGTCTTTAGGAGAAGTGAATGAGCGTTATCATGTAACTATACCCAGCTCCTCCAGGTCTCATCCCAAGCACAAGGCGCTCCGTGGGTCACTGCTTCCTCGGAGAAGTCTCCCCATACACACTCCTCCTAAAGCCTCTCTTATCAGCAGCCAAATTTCCGTCCTGTGGCACTCTCTCTTTAAGCCTTATGCCCTTTGTTACTGAAACTGCCGCTGTGAGAACAAAGGGAGCACCTCAGCAGTGACAGCTCTAACTCTGCCTTTTCGGGATTGACAGTGGAGGCCGGATTTTTCGTGTTCCCTCTGTTCTGTGGTAAAGCCCTTGTCTCATTACTCATTCGTGCTTTGTTCTTTGGCACCTCTAATGGCCCAGGTCTCTTCTCTTTCTACTGAACTGGGTCTTCTATCATTTAAGCACAACTCTCCTGTCCTTAAGACCATGCAGCATAAAGCCATCACCAACTTGGGCCTCTTAGATTCAACCTGGAAGGACCTGGGCTCCCATCAGCTGCTGCTATCCCTACTTTGCAGTGAGAAGCCTCCATTGCTCTCTCAGTCTCTTCACCTTGACGTGCACCATCTCTGGGCCTCTGTTTGCGCTTTGCAAAAGTCAGGGCCCTGTGACACCTGTCCCCATACTCCCTGGACCTGAGTTGACAGCTAGACTGACCCACATCAGATCAAGACCGGCATGTATTGAAAGCCTGAGCAGGACACTCAAATCACACAGTTCTGGAACCCGAATCCCTCGGTGCACGCAGAACTTTGATCTCCACTCCTGGTGGGATCTGCCAGAGCTCGTTCTATTGATCTGAGTGCAGAAGTCTCAAACCAAAGCCCACATCTCCCTGAGTGAGTAGAGGAAAAGTCGGTGTGCTCCTCATCTGAGTACCTTATTTGGGCCTCCATTCCCTTGTGTGACACTCAGGACCCTGCTCTGTGTGGCCCCCTATTTTGAAAAAAATATATCAGCTCCTTGGCTCTTATTGCCTCACTTTTATTGTCGTAGGGCAAGACCTTTCCTTCTCTTACTGTGCCTCTTCCTCTGTCATTACCATAAGGCCACAGCGGACACTCTCCAGGTGCCTAGATCCAGAGGGCGGACGGGAGAGGTGCTCCTAACAGTGCAGCACTGGCGCAGGGGCACTTAGGTCTGATGCAGGGGCAGAACTGTGTGGAGCTGAATTCATAATGCGAAGGAGGGGGTTCCTCCCTTCTGTGCACATTTGGAAACCTTACCTTGAGTGCTGAAGAATCCTGAGAACTTACCCTCAGTGGAGCAGGCCCTGAACTTCTCACAGCCAGGTCCTAGGTTTTGTAGTACAAAGGAGAATGATCCACTTCAGAGCTACAAACCTCAGGATTCCAAAGGCTATTTTCAGGGCAAGTCCTTAAAGGGGCCGCACTCTCCTGAAGTCAGTGCTGCTTAAGTCTCTGCCTTTGTATTCAGCAGAGCCTGTGAGTCCTTCTTGTACTCTCTGAAGTCACTCAGCCGCCAAGCCAAGCCCACACCTAATTAAGTCACCAGGGAGGAAATCCATGCACACCCACAGGGCTCCACCCACCTGAGCAGTGCAAGACTCACAGCCGGGGCAGGAGTTTGTGAGCCTCCGTATTTGTGGACAGGTCCTTCCATCAGGGATTCCGTCATGGCCTTCATGCTAGTTTTACCCAAAGCGCAGCCTACAGAGCTTTGTCCTCATTTCCTAGCTCCTGGTACTTTGCTTTCTGACACCTTCCACGTGAAAATGAGCACCTCAGCTGTGTGGCTCTGTGGAATGCCTCACATAAACAAAGCATTCTCTGAACGCTGCTATTCTTCTTGGGGATGAACAGAGCCCAGCAGCCTCCAAACATTGCCGACCCCTTCCTCATCCCTAGAGTGGAAATGCAGACTTGCTGTGAAGAGGATGTCTTCCTGAGCTCTAAGGCCCCCCACAGTCCTCTCTGCACATTCAGGGGAAATGGAAGCATCCCCCTACAAAGCTCCTGTGTCAAATTAACAGAAGAGTATGACATCTAACAATTTACCATTTAATGCCTTTTATTTTCATGAGCCATCTAAGGAACACAATTTTTGAATTTAAAAGGAAGACTGGAGTGAATCATATTTTCCAACAATTTGTAACAGTTTAGTCGTTTCTTCTTTAATGATTATTTCCTTTTATGTTATAGTCCATGATTTCAGTTTATAATGTGTACATTCACTGTAGGAGTAGGTACATGAGTGTGGCACATCTTACTTCTTTCTCATCCCTCACACTTCTCTTTCCTCTTCCGTCCTCCTCCCTCTTGTCCTGCCATAACCTCCTTCCTTGCAGGCAGCTGGCACAGATACGTAACAGATCCCAGTTCTTCCTGTGTCTCTGCCACCTCCTTTCCTCTCCCAACGTCCATCTCTTGTTCCCTTCTCTTTTGCAAAATAGCCCTCTTCCGCCTTCCCCTTCTGTCTTTCATATTGCTCTATCCTCCTCTTAGAGGTTTCTCAGAGGGGAGAACCCGTACACTATTTAAAATTATGAGTCAGATTTTTTCACTTACTATGTTTTCAAGTTGCCTCATTTTCTACCTCAAACTTTTCCCTCTTTGTAGTCAAGTAGTATTTCAGTTTACAGAGGTCTCATTTTTCTTTATTCATTTGTATGTTGATGGACATATTGGCGGCTTCCAGTATTTAGCAATTGCAAATTGTGCTGCTATAAACATGGGTATAATTGCATGGCTGTAATAGGATTTCTTTAAGTCTTTTGGTAAGATACATTGACGTGGACTACCTGGTTCAAATACAATTTCTATTTTCTGTTATTCTTTTCTTCTATGTTTTGTTTAAAAGTTTTTAGTCATGTTCATTGTCATTTTCAAGAAAATTCTTATGCGTTTGACATTTGTTTGCAAGCAAACATAAAAACTGGGCATCTCCTGAGACTGGCTTTATAGGTGTCCCTTGGAGTAGATGCTTATATTAGTTCACTTTGCGGTGCTCACCTGGACATGTGACCAGTCCTGTAACTCTGCTTCTTCTTTACCTCACTCTGCTCCTCTGAAGTGGAGGTTCTTCTTCCTTGATAATTCCTTGTTGTTAGTGAGAGGCATCATGTATGACTACAGTCCCTTCAAAGCTTGCAAGAGTGTACAGCTATGGCAGTATACTGAAGAATTCCACAGGTCTGTCATGGTTTTTTATCATTTCCCAGTCCTGAGCCTCAGGTCCACATCTACCGGAATGACACCCTTTTCTCTATGGAACTGGAGTCACGCTCCATGTGGCTCTGGACGACTCTTTGATTTGGAAGTGGCTGTTTCCCAATCATTTCATCCTGCTGAATTCTGTCTCATCTTGAATTCTGTCATCATCTTGAATTGTGGTTAATGGCTTCTACCGCTTGCTTAAAGGCTTCTGGGCAAATCCCATATTTCTGAAAAAATTGACCAGTCTCTTGTCTGCAACCCCTGTGTAGAAGTAATCCATGTCACAGGAGTGCCTGAATCTACAACAGAAACCAGGAGGCCTAGTTGCCAATTGATAAAGCCGTTGTTTTGTTCCAAGTTTATTTCAATGACATGGAGTCTGTTCTTATAGTTTATAACAATGAATTAAGACCAAGAATATTTTTAGAAATAGAATAACAACAATTAATACTTTCAAAAAATCAATGGGCACAGTAATGCTTATGGGCTTTTTAGTTCTGTATGTGTGTAATGAAGTGCACCAGCGTGCTGGTTATCTTTGTTAGAGGTTTCCTGGAGACTGCATAGGGGGTGATTGGGGCTGGGAAGAATGCTTTCTTTTTTTAACTTTTTCAGGTGACTTCTTAATGTGCTTTTGTATGGAAATATAGGTATGCATAGTGGTGAAAATGGCCCTCTGAGACCTTTAATGAGCATGTTATGACTAAGAAGCAGTTTGTTTGGGTGCTAACCTCCAAAGGAGAAGATGATAAATGCAGTACATTCTTGGTCACAGTTGCCTGAGCTTTCTGGAGTCCCTGTGGCCCCCTCTTGGACCTGGCAGTGTTTCCAGGGGATGCAGATGACTCTTGATTCAGCAGTATGATGACTGTGGCCAAGACTGCAGGCCTGAGAGTGGATGATATGGGCACAGGGAGGAGAGAGAATGTGAAACATAAGCTCCTCCAGTGCAGAGATATCTCCCTGGAATTGTGAAGATTTTCTGAGTGTTTTCCTGTAAGCACTGATTTTGGAACCTCAGAGCTCCTATTCTTATCGGCCCTTCCCCTGAGAGTCCAGTGGAAATCATTAAAAGGAGCTTTAGTCTGGTGCTGGCCAGAACTTCCTTAGTTCACTAATGATAAGAATATAGATAGCAGTTCTAATTCTTGGGGATCCCCTTTTACCCTGTGATAGTGGATATTCTCAGGTAACAATCAGGACCATAAAATCAAATGTTGGCAGTGCCTGTGTTGCCTTATGTTTCTTAAATTGACATTTCCACCCGAAGTTCGCCCTTCCCTGGTATGCCTTTAGAGGAAGTGGAAAGGCACCTGAGTCTACCATCCTTGCAAGCAGTTCTCAGCTCCTTGTGACATAGGCATGTTGCAGTCCTCTGTCCTAATTCAGGGCTCTACCTGTGGTTCTGGATATGACCTGATATAACTGCTCATGCTTACTTGGTGCCTTTTGTCTCAGATAAGGGTCTACATTGAACTATTGGCATCAAAAGCCAAGGAATTCTTGTACACATGACTGTCATGCCTGGTCCCCTTAAGGTTTCAACTGTTGGAAGTCACTATTTTATCTCCCCTTTTTGAAAAGGAGTGATTTTGCCAGTCCTCAGTTAGCATCTGAGGGCTCGTGTCTCCTCCTTCTGCAAGTTTGAGGCAGGCAATGAGTCAGTCAACCTGTGACTCTCCACGTAAAAAGGGACAACATCGACTGACAGCTTTTCTGGTGATTCCCAGGGATGAGAAAAGGGATACTATATATGGGATTTCCTATTTGGAGTTCACATGTGGGCTTACTCCTCACTTCAGCCTCCAAATTTATTCCTGGCACAGCTTGGGATACCTCTTGACCTCAGAACAAGTCCCCATATAGAGAATGCTGGGTCCCACATATATGAATATACTTGCCTAGAGTCTCACAGAAAGGAATGTAGGAACTTTGCTTTCCATTGTCACCTCCTTTGGGAAATGATCTTCTCATTAACACCCAGGGACTTTAATTTGACTCCAGTTAGGACCCAGCTTTCCTCTAACTTGCTGAATCTAAGACTACTTTAGCCAAAGTCCTCTATTCCCTGAGACTGTCCAGGAAATACTCAGCTTGATAGTTTTAACAGGATGTCCCAGTGTCACCCTAAGGTTTAATGAGAGGAGAATAATACTCTAACTACAAATTTGGGGACCTAAAATTAAGGCTAATCCTGGGATTTCATCCTCTGCCAACAGGACCGCATGCCTCTCTTACCCAGAACCTCACCTTTCTTACAGAAAAGAGAGAAGTGACCATGTTTGACCAACTACTACACAAGTTTCCTTGGGTTTCAGGACCAGGTCGCTCTGAGGCCACCCTGTTTTCCGGTCAGTGCTCCTTTTGCCCTCACCATTATATCTACCAAAAGCAAAGATTCCTCCCTGTACTGACCAGAGCCACACAACTACTAAAACAAACCCATACCCAACCAGGTACTTCCTTGCGAAGGAAATTTGGGCAAGACCCACTGGCGCCCATTGCTTGAGAGTCCCAGGATGACAGCCGGGGCTGCGCTCTATGAACATCCCTATTTTGGGACACATCCTCCCATTAGCTCCAGGATACTCCCCAGAACTCTGGTTTTGCTCAAGATCCCTCCTTCCATGACATGAATCTGTCCATGTTCAGCCCCTTTTCTTTCTAAGATTTCCCTAGTGGAAGATCACAGTGTGAGTAACACTAAGCTGCAAGGGTTGATCAAAATAGATGGAGAATGTTTAAATTTAAGTGATAAACATATCTCTTTTTTTTGTCTTTCTGAGACAGGGTCTCACCATTCAGTTCAGGATGGCCTGGAGCTCACTCTGCAGCCTAGGCTGGTCTCAAACTAACAAGGATTCTCCTGCCTCAGCCTCCCGAGTGCTGGGATTACAGGCCTGTGCCACCACACCTGGCAAGAAGGTTTAAATTTAAAAACAGTATAACAAAACACAGTTTGCCATTACTTCCCCATCAAAATCCTCCCCCTTGCTTTGCATAGTCGTGTTCATCCTCTGAACACGACTATGCAAAGTTTCATCTTGGGTTTTGCCACTTTCTCAAGTACTTCTGGCACTCCTCTTTAATGCAGCTTTTTAAGGCACAATCAGAAACACAATGAACGCTGCTGCCCAAGACCACCCAACTGAAAGACAGTCAGAAAACTGTTACTCACCAATTCTGGAAACTTCTGGCTCTTTTCACAATTCAAACTGACAATGAAA